TTCTCGCAAGCTCAAGAAACCTTTGGAAATGCTCTCGTAGTGATACATTGGCAAACCCGTGGAATAAGATGTTTTGAATCATCGTCACAAGAGCGGGCTTGATTTCAAAGTTGTTGGCCTCCACGGTTGGATGTAGGATGGGAGATTGGATATCCGCCGCCCGTGGAGCCATGTAATAGCCCATAGTCCTTGGATCTTCCTCGGCTCCCGCTTCCTCATTTGAGGCGGTTTAGCACCTCGATGTTGATTCCCCGCCATCTTAACTTCAACTTCTCCTTCAATTCCTCCAAATCCAGGACCAACTAGTTGTCCCCTCTCTTCAATTCTACTTCTTGCCTCCGCTAGCTCCCTCTCTCGAGCTAAAAGTTGAAGATTCCAATTTATATCCTCGTCCAGTGGTATTAAAGGCGCCAAATTGCTCCGGGTCATGCACCTCCCTACACACAATTAAAGAACACAACATGTCTAGCACAAGCACACTTCATACTTGAGAAAACTGAAAATAATAGCTAGATTAACACCAAACTATCTTTTCAAGATAACGGACTGAAGTTCCCCGGCAACGCCGCCAAAAACTGTGAAATCAGAATGGAATGAAGAGCCTAACAATAGACTCTATTTCAACCTCTCTATGTTGATTATTGGTGAAAATGAAACTTTTATTAAATCTGAAATGAATATACACAAATACAAAGAGAACCCTAGCCAAGCCAATCGACTTGGCTCTTTGACATGGAAGAACACTCAACTCTTCTACTTCCCAAGACTCAATCACCCAGTACACACACTGCTATTGATCTACTGAAGTAGTTACATGAACGGACCCAAGGTAGACAAGAAAAATGCCTATCACTTTTACAACCAACTGTCAAATTCAAATGAAGAAGATATATTGCTATTTATAATAGAGAGCAAGAAAAAGACTGTTTACTATTGAGAAGACTGTTTCCTATAGATCACTCCTTATAGTGTTCATCATTGTGCGGCAAGTAGAGGCGGTGGCAATTCAGACAGACTCGAGAAGGCTGTCCGATTTCTCGTGAGAAGAGTAGTGCAGCGTATTCGCTCGAGAAGGCTGCGAGGTGGAGAAGAAGACTTCAAAGGATGAAATATCAATACGTCACCGTTCCTTAGTGAAACAAAGCCAAGTTGAAGTGACGCCGTTTTACATCATGGGCAACGTCGACGTTTCATCCAACAATTTCCCCCTTCGTCCGAGAAGTATGGAAATACCTGAAAAAACAAGAAGGAAGAAAACAGCAGACCAAGAATCCAAAGGAAAATATAGTTTCATTAATTAAAAACAGATTACAACAGAAGAATGTCCAACACAATCCGGGGACATGAGTTACAAAAGAAGACAGAAATCCAAACATATTCCCCCTAAACAACAACTACATCAAACTAATCAACAACTAGAGTCCTAACCTCATTCCCCCTGGACAAAAGCATCATCCTGTAGTTAGGACGATATTACAAAATTTGCTCAACTAGCTAAAGAAGCATAAATAAATAAAAGTTAGGAAGCAGGAGCAGAGGCTGTAGAGTCATCTAAGGAGGAGTTTCCTTTAGAGATGGTGAAAACCAGGTCACTAGTTGTGCTTGGTTTCCCTGCAGACTTGGCCTTTTTAGCAGAAGAGGGTTTAGGAGGAGGACCTAGAAGAGAGGCAGAAGGGCGAGGAGGAGTAGGTATATCAGTAGGCACATCAAGCACCATGATTACATTTAATGCCCTGATATACATGGAAGAGGACACACTGCAAAACTCGGATAGATCAACCTCTAGGACCGTACTCACCCGTGAATAACCGGATAGAATGGAAATCGATCGGAAGTACTCACCCATGAATAAGGGCAATCGATATATGAATCGATCGGAAAAATTCAACTTGGAATAAAGGGCAATCGATATGGGTAGCTCGCCACAACCAGGGTGAATACCTAGCTGATAAGAGTCGCTCTATCACTCTGGAGATTCTCAACAGAGTAATTAGGGCAAATTCCGCGTAGGGAACTCGGCAGTAGCCATCACATTGATAGAACTTCCCATCGCCATGTTTCTCACAAGCTCTATAGATCTCCCCGAAGTCAACATCATCAGAATAGAGCTCCTTGATATGCTTGAAACCCAAATACTTCACCCCATTGTCGTGATCAACGAATGCCTTCGAGATAGGGCATCAGCAACTACGTTCTCCTTGCCTTTCTTGTACTTGATCACGTACGGAAAGGATTCAATAAACTCAACCCATCGAGCATGTCTCTTATTCAGCTTGTGTTGAGCCTTCAAATACTTCAACGACTCGTGATCAGTGTGAATCACGAACTCCTTCGGCCAAAGATAGTGTTGCCACGTCTCTATGGCTCGAACTAGAGCATAAAGCTCCTTGTCGTACGAAGGATAGTTGAGGGCAGCCCCACTCAACTTCTCGCTGAAGTAAGCAATCGGCTTCTTCTCCTGCATCAACACTGCTACAATTCCCAAACCAGAAGCATCACACTCAACTTCGAATTTCTTATTGAAATCCAGCAACATCAGGACATGTGCGTGTGTGTTCTTGTGCTTGAGCAGCTTGAATGCTCTGATCTGCTCCTCTCCCCAATAGAATGTCACGTTCTTCTTGATGATGGATGTCAATGGCGCGGCAATGGTGCTGAAATTGGGCACAAATCGACGATAGAACCCAGCAAGCCCATGAAAGTTCCGCACCTCATTCACTTTGGTTGGAATAGGCCAATCGCGAATTGCTTTCACTTTCTCTTCGTCCACCTTGACTCCATCTGCACTAACCACAAAACCAAGGAAAATAACACTAGAAGTGCAAAATGAGCACTTCTTGAGGTTAGCATACAATTTCTCCTTTCTCAACATCGCCAACACCTCTCTCAAGTGATTGAGGTGATCCTCCATGCACTTCGAGTAGATCAGAATGTCGTCGAAGTATACGACCACGAACTTGCCAATGAATGGCCTCAAAACATGGTTCATCAGCATCATGAATGTGCTAGGAGAATTGGTTAAACCAAAGGGCATCACCATCCATTCATATAGACCCTACTTGGTCTTAAACGCAATCTTCCCCTCGTCTCCCTCCTTAATGCAAATTTGGTGGTACCCTGATCTAAAGTCAATCTTGGAAAACACTGTAGAGCCATGTAATTCATCAAGCATATCATCTAATCGTGGAATTGGATGATGATACTTAACTGTAATTTGATTGATGGCTCGGCAGTCTGCACACATCTACCAGGTGTGATCCTTCTTTGGCACGAGAATCACCGGAACTGCACATGGGCTCAAAATTTATCGAACATGCCCCTTCTCCATGAGCTCGTCAATCTGCCTTTGCAGCTCTTTGGTCTCTTCCGGATTACCTCGATATGTTGCCTTGTTTGGAATTTGAGCTCCCGACACGAAATCAATCTGGTGCTCAATTCCACGAATAGGAGGTAGCCCCTTTGGTGCTTCCTCAGGAAACACATCCTCGAACTCAAACAACACCACTCTTGCTTCAGCTGGAACTTCTTGGACTAGCTCTTGATTGAGCATCACGTCCCTGTACATGAGCACAATCAAAGGATCTCGTGCACAGGCAGCTTGCTTCAAATCTCCACTGCGTGCTAGCATCACTGCCTTTGAATCCACAATTCCAGCTCCCTCTCCTCCTTTCTTGGCCGAGGCATTACTTGCCTTTTCTTGCTCTCAATGTTGCTGCATTTGGAGTTGAACTCGATATACTTCACTTGGAGACAGAGGCTTCAACACGAACTTTTGTCCTCCATGTTGCAACTTATACTTATTTGTCACTCCAACATGTTGTGCTTGTCGATCAAACTGCCATGGCCTTCCAAAAAGAACATGTGCAGCTTGCATAGACACTATATCACACAAAATCTCATCTTTGTAATCTCCAATCTCGAACTTCATTAGTGCCTTCTTTGTGACTTTGTTGGATCTGTGATCGTTAAGCCATTGCAGTGTGTATGGCTTTAGATGCTTCAACGTAGGCAGCCCTAGCCTCTTCACTGCCCACGCGCTCACAACGTTCGTGCAACTTCCTCCATCGATCACTAGAGAGAGCAACTTCCCATCAACTACACATCTCGTATGGAAGATATTTTCTCGTTGTTCACTCTCCTCCTTAGGCTGCGAAGACAATACTCTCCGTGCTACAAACAAACTGCCTGGAAGTGGTTCCATTTCCATAGACTCATCGACATCAGAATCGGTGGTCTCTTCCTCTTCCTCCGATACATACTCGCCATTATCAAGCAAGATCAGGGTCTTCTTATTGGCACACTGGCTCGCAATGTGTCCTCTTCCATGGCATTTGAAACAACGAATTTCCCCTGACGATCCACCTTGCTTCGTAACTGGATTTGCACAATCATCCCTTGCCGCGGGTCTAGGAGCTTCTTTCACGGGCAATTGCGGCTTAGGGTTGGTTGAAACTCCTTGGCTCGAACGTGTGGAATTTGTGGGGGGTTGAAACCTCCTATTTCGAAGCTGTCGTTCCACTTTACTTGCCATATCCACCAAATCTTCAAGTTCAAGGAACGGTTGTATCTCCACCACGTTCTTGATCTCTCGATTGAGACCATATAAAAAACGAGCTATGGTAGCCTCGCGGTCCTCTCTCACATCAGCACGTATCATCAACACTTCCAACTCCTTGTGATAATCTTCAACGCTTTTAGTTCCTTTCCAGAGAAGCTGGAGGTTTTGATAAATATCTCGCAAATGGGAACTTGGTACAAACCGATCCCTCATAATTCCTTTCATCTCATCCCACGTATCAATAGGAGGCAACCAATGTCACTTTCTTCTTCTCGGAGTAGTTATGACAATCAAACACTAGTTCCATCTTTCGCTCCCAATCAAAATAAGCATCCTGGTTCGTGGTACCGCGAAAAAGTGGAATCGTGACCTTGAGGTTTCGCAAATCATCATCCTCCTCAAAGCCCTCTTCTTCCTCGTCGTTAAACTCCTCTTCATGATGCTAGTGTCGCTCTCTCCTTTCAGCACGAGGCATTCCAAGGCGTCTATGCTCGCGCATATGAAGTTGTACTTCGTGAACCAAGGGTGGAGGAGCTCGGGTTTCCCTTCCCCTTTCTTCTGGACGAGGTCTAGGGTTAGTGTTTGCATCGACCACAACCGGCTGCTGGAGCCTTGTCTCGACAACCTCCATCCTCGTGGCTTGCTCGGCAAGCCTTGCTGTTTGCTCTTCTTGAGCACCAGCAATGTTCTCCAATTGATTTCTGATTGCTTCGAGTGCTGCTTCCATGTTTCCGATGCAAGAAAACTCCAAGAACTTAACAAGAACTCGCACAACTTGCTTCTTGCCTCGCAAGAAACACCAAGAACTCCCAAGAACAAACAACCTCCTGTCTGGCGGCTCAAGAACACGCCAAGACCTTCAAGACTTCGCACAAAACCACCAATAACACGAAAAAGAACGCACAAGATCTTCAAAAAAAACTTCAAGAAAACGCCACTGATTTGAACCTTAGCTCTGATACCACTTGATATAATCATAGTTGCGCAGGGTCAAGCTTCTCGAACCAAACAATACCGGATAGGATGGAAATCGATCGGACACTACTCACCCTTGAATAAGGGCAATCAATATATGAATCTATCGGACAGATTCAACTCGGAATAAAGGGCAATCGATATGGGTAGCTCGCCACAACCAGGGTGAATACCTAGCTGATAAGAGTCTCTCTAGCACTCTGGAGATTTTCGACAGAGTAATTAGGGAAAATTCCGCGTAGGGAACTCGACAATAGCCTATGAAATGCAATAATAATCGTCTAAGGGCAAACCAACGTGTTCAGCCCTTTAAATAGACAAAGTACAACCCAAATCTGAATCCAACATGGAAAAACAATCATAACCAACTTTAAAACATGGAAACTCAGAAACAGCCCATCAAACCCATTAAGCCCAAACCGTCAAGCCTGGACCCGTTAAGTAAACCCGTTAAGGCTGGACCCGTTAAGCAAACCCGTTAAGGCTGCTTCTTGCAATCTGCCTTCTCTTCAGCACTTCCTCCTTCTTCCTCCACTCGAATCATCATATATGGCTTCCCTCCAAATAGCTCCGCGTCCATGGCTCCAAAGTAGCTCTCCAAATTGTCGCAAGCTTCTCCTTCAACGTCCTTGCCTTAGAACATGTGACTGGCCCATTGATGTCCTCATCAATACTTGTAGACATTAAACTCATAGGGTTCGAGTTGGGTGATGTGGTGGAGTCTTCTCTTGTCAAAATGCTAGAGATATCGATGATGATTTATCACCAGAGGCTCAAGAAACATGTAGCCAGAGTAGGTTTGAACCAGACCATCAAAGCGGAAAGGGCGAGGGATATAATCACTCAATTTCGGAACAACTGAGGTTTTTTGTGTTTGCTTTTGATCGTTTACCTTGCTAGAATAGTGTGAGGAGAAAAGGATGGAGAAGGTGGCTTATATAGGCAGAAGAAAGAGTAGGATTGAAAAAGAGGAAGAGTTTCCCGCAGGAGAAAAAATGTCATGGTGAGTTATTGGCATGCACGACGTTGTCTTGGAACTACGCAAGCATGAGCCGAAAAAGGGGTTTATTTAATAAACCAAGACACACAAAATACTCAGAGCAAAAAGAGCCAATGGGAATTTCAGTTTTATAGATTCTTAATATGACTTGAAGATTTGAGGCCCAGCTCAGTGCATAGCTGAAGGAAGCGTTCACTGGGAAGCGGTTTTGTAAATAAATTAGCTAATTGAGATTCAGTAGACACAAACTGTAAACAGATGTGTCTTGCTTGCACCAGATCTGTAATAAAATGATATTTTATCTCAATGTGTTTAGTTATATTGTGTTGAATAGGGTTCTTTTTCATACTTATTGCACTTGTGTTATCCTAGCAAACTTAAACTTCGTGTAATTTAAAACCATTATCAGATAATTGAGCTTTCATCCACATGATTTGAGCACAACAGTTTCCAGCTGCCATGTACTTGGCCTCTGCTGTGGAGAGAGCAACTACTCCCTGTTTTTTGCTAAACCAAGAAACAAGAGCAGATCATAGAAACTGAATAGTTCCTGACGTACTTTTTCTATCTACTAAACTTCCTCCAAAATTTGAATCACTATAACCCACTAATTCAAATGAGTCAGTGATTGGATACCATAATCCTAAATCTATTGTTCCCTTGAGATACCTGAATATACGTTTAACTGCTTTGAAATGGCTTTCCTTAGGGTTTGATTGAAATCTTGCACATAGCCCCACACTAAATTGAATATCAGGTCGACTGATTGTTAAATAGAGAAGAGATCCAATCATTCCTCTGTATTTTCTTTCATAGAAAGCTTTCCATCCTTCATCTTTGTCTAATTTCATATTAGTGGGCATAGGTGTTAAGCTTCCATTCACTGACATCATGTCGAACTTCTTAAGCATGGTTTCAATATAGCTAGATTGATTAATGAATATTCCTGACTTTGTTTGTTTAATTTGTAAACCTAAGAAGTGAGACAGTTCTCCCATCATGCTCATTTCAAATTCTGATTTCATGGTTTCGCAGAATTTGGTACACATGGATGGGTTTGTTGATCCAAACACAATGTCATCAACATAAATTTGCACAATTAGAGTATCTGAATTTTCCCTTTTTTATAAACAACATCTTATCTACATTTCCTTGGCAGAACCCTTCAGTTTTTAGAAATGTAGACAATTTCTCATACCATGCCCTAGGTGCTTGCTTTAAACCATACAAATCTTTTGATAATTTGTAAACGTGATCAAATTTTTATGATAAAAAAATCTTGGTGGTTGACTTACATATACTTCCTCTTTTATTTCTCCATTTAAGAAAGCACTTTTTAGATCCATTTGAAACAAGGGGATTTTCATATAACAAGCATAGGCACAAAGCATTATAATAGACTCAATACGTGCAACAGGTGCAAAAGTTTCTTCAAAGTCAATTCCTTTTTCCTGTGAATAACCTTGTGCTACTAATATGGCTTTATTTTTGATTACTTGTCCTTCTTCATCAGTTTTATTTATGAAAACCCATTTTGTTCCTATAATTAAACAATCTAATGGTCGAGGAACAAGTTTCCAAACATGCATCCTAGCAAATTGTAGTAATTCTTCTTGCATAGCACACAACCATTCATCATCAGTTAATGCTTCCTTGTAATTTTTTGCTTCTAGTAAAGAGACAAAGGCATACTGACATGGCTGGTACTTACCTCTGGTGTGGATGCCATCTTTAAGTTATCCTATGATATGTGAAGTAGGATGTCGTTTCTGGATATGAGCAGGGGCCTCTTTCTCCTCTCCTTTACTTGATATATTGCTTGGCTCACTTTTGTTTCTTGCGTTTACTTTTTAGTGGAAGCTTTATTTTCCTCAGTGTCTTGTTCTTTTGTTGAAACAGGAAACAAAAAGTCTATGCTTTCGACAGAGACTTTGTTAGTACACGCAGATTCATCAAATTTAACAAATACGCATTCCTCAACCCTTTTAGATATGAGGTTGTATACTCTGTAGGCCTGGCCTTTAGTTGAATATCCAAGGAATATGGCCTGATCACATTTAGCATTGAACTTATATAAGTGATCCTTTGTGTTTAGAATAAAACATTTACATCCAAAGGGATGAAAGTATCCTAAATTTGGTGTTTTCTTTTTCAAAATTTCATAGGGGGTTTTATTTATAGTTTTTTTTATTAGTACTCTGTTGATTACATAGACATCAGTCATAACAGCTCCCCCCAGAGAAATTTAGGTGTACCATATTCCAGAAGCATTGTACTAGCTGCTTCAATTATGGTTCTATTCTTCCTTTCTACAACACCATTTTGTTTAGGTGTTCTTGGTTCAGAGAAAGTATGGTTTATTCCCTTATCATTACATAAATCATCAAATTGCTCAGAAATAAACTCACCCCCATTATCACTTCGAATTGACTTAATACCTTTCTTGGACTCACTTAATATAAGGTTCACAAAAGTTTTGAAACTAGCAAAAGCTTTATCCTTTGACGCCCTAGAGAAATCATCAACCACTAGAAAAGCATATGACTTGCCTCCAAGACTTGCCACATTAGTAGGTCCAAAAAGGTCCATATGAATTAACTCATAATGTTCAGTAGTGGTTATGTCTTTTTTTTATTTAAAACTCTTTTTGGCTAGTTTACCGCCAACACAAGCATCACAGAAAAACTTGGAATTTTCTTTTAAAACAGGAATGCCTCTGGCTGACTTCATTCTAGACAGTCTTGACAATTTTGACAGACAAATATGTCCTAATTTTCTATGCCAGAGCATTTCGAGATCATGCAATTTAGCTTGAAAACAAGTTTCATTAAACGTTTTTAGACAATTTAGATTAACAATATATATATTGTTTTTCTTAGTTCCACTAAGGGTTAATATTTTCGTATGGCCTGAACTTTGACCAAAATAAACATTCTGGCCAATCTTTTCGATCTATAACATCCTGGCCCGAACTATACACCAAAATAAACAATTTGGCCAAACCCGATGTTTGACTGTTAACTTGGACGGTCAAACGCGTTGACTAACGGTCAACGCGCCACGTCACTGCCACGTCAGAAGATCTGATAAATATTTAATTTTTTTAGTTTTTTTTATTTTTGGTTTAACTAAGGTATTAGATGGTTTTTTTAATTTATAATAATTTAAAATTAGGGATGTGTGGAAATTGTGAATTATTTTAAATATTTTATGGTGACTTGGCAATGACATGGCACGTTGACTAACGGTCAACGTGTTTGACCGTCCAAGTTAACGGTCAAAAGCCGGATCTGGCCAAATTGTTTATTTTGGTGTATAGTTCGGGCCAGGATGTTATAGATCGAAAAGATTGACCAGAATGTTTATTTTGGTCAAAGTTCAGGCCATACGAAAATATTAACCCTTCCACTAAATAACAGTTTATTGTCCTTTATCCTGATAATTTGACAAGAATCTGATTCAAATACCACTCTGTTCTCAGTTCTACAAAGTTGACTTATGGAGAAGAGATTATGTTTTAACCCTTTATCAAACAATACATCTATAATAGTAGGGAGAGGACTCTTACCAATTGTGCCATTTCCCATAATTATTCCTACTCAGTCATCTCCAAATACTACTTGCCGTCCTTTTTGTAATTTAAAGAAGAAAACAGTTCCTTTTTACCTGTCATGTGGTTGGAGCAACCACTGTCCAGAAATCAAATGTTCTCATTCTCCCAAACTCTGCAATCAATCATAAGTTAGTACATT